GAGCTCTGCTGGCGCCGCTGCCCTCGAATCACCATGGTGGCAGCAGGTAGGGTGGCCACACCCTTGGGCAATTTCCTTGAATCCAAGCAGAGGCCCCCCGATCGGCCCCTCCTGGCCACTGCCCACAGACCTCCCAGAGGCCAGAAACCCCGCTCTCCTCAGCTGGGGCTCCCTGAGCTCCGCTGCTGACCCCTTGTCAGTGAAGACCTCTGAGCAGATGAAGAACGCAGACCACAGACCAGTCATCAGACCCAGCTTCAGGGGCCCTCAGGTGGGGCGCAGCGTACAAAGCCACCAGCGCCAGCTCTGCCCGGGGTCTCGGCGGCTAACTTAAACCATCTGGGAGCCAGGGGGCGGGGAGGGTCCTCCAGTGCAGGAGATATGCAGCCCAGCAAGCGCATGGAAGCCGAGGGGAAACTGCCTGCACGCCCCGGCCCCTCGCCAGGTCCAGAAGAGGGAACACACAGCCGCCCTGCAGCAGAGGTACCCAGGGCTGCGAGGGCAGGGGCACACACATTCCCGCCAACCATGCCCACGAATGCCCATGCCACACGAGGCCCTGGAGGTCAAAAGGCACCGTCTGATACGAGCCAGGCCGGTGTGTCCCTGACGTCCCTGCTCTTAAGCCTCAAAGCTGTGGCTGGCCGGGGCCGCTCCGGGCAGAAGGCAGTCCGCCTACACGGCTGGGTGGTAGAGCCTGGCTTTCCACCGCTTGGACCGGACTCGGAAGAAGAAGTACATGAGCATCAGGAACAGGGACGAGGCCACGTAGAGCAGGACACACAGACTCATGTCCAGGCTGGAGAAGCCGGCCCCGAGGAAGGGCACGGCTGCCTCGGCTTCCTGGCGGGCCCTGGGCCCATGGGGACTCTGCAGCCCGAGGTCTAGTCTGTGGGGCAGACCCTCGGGCAGGTGCTCTCGGGGGCCCAGCGCGCTGGGCGGACGAAGGCTCTGGGCATCGTGGCCACCATGGGCTTCCGCGAGGGGAGTGAGCCCTTCCTCCCCCTCAGCCCTGGCTGGGGCTGCTGCTCCGCCCAGGCCCCCCAGGTCGGCCGCGTACGTGTCCAGAAGGTTGTCGCTGCTGTAGTGCCGCTTCAGGAACGCGAGCACGTGGCTCTCGCTCCAGCTGTCCAGACCCCTCACTTCCTCGTGGCAGGCCGGGCAGAGGTCCGGAGAGGGCCACGGGACCTTTGGGAACTTGGGATCCTCACTGGGGTGGCCTAGAGGACAAGAAGAGCAGTCAAGAAAGACCCCTCCCCGGGCCCTGCCACAGGTCTGCCCTGCCGCTTGCCGGCCGGCCTTGCAGCCAGGCCCAGGCACTGCGCTGCCCCGCTACGCTCAGCCCTGTGGAGGTGTTCTATTTTCCTCTAAGCCCAGCGTGGGTTCCTGGGCCTGTCCACCTCGGCTCCTGCCACTGGACCCAGCCCCTCTGCCTTGGTGCCCAGGCGGAGCCCAGGCTGCCCTTGCCGAGGCCCTCTGTCCCAGCACAGAGCCCTGAGCGCCCTGCCTGCCAGAAGCACCCATCTCTGGGTGTTCATGCTTCAGGCACTGGGTCCTCCTGGGCCCTCACACCCTCTGTGGTCTCTAAAGCACACCTCGGGAGGGACACGGGCTGTCAGACATGGAGGTGCAGGGACGAGCCGGGCTGGTTTCACTTCTCAGCTGGGGACAGCACCATGCCGACAAACACCCATCTGCCAGGGCATTCTGAGGGTGGCATGGCGCCCTCCCGTCCAGGCGACCAAGCCTGGGAACGGCAGGTGGACAGCTCTGCAGCTGGTGCCCCATGCCACCACCCGAGGGGCCTGGCTCCTGGAGGGCTGCACTGGCCCAGACCCCCACGCTCATGGCTTCTGGGGCCAGCCGCTCAGCCGCCCCAAAAGGCAGTTGCGTGACCCTGGCCGAGAGGTCACCACTCCCACCTCCCGCCCAGCACTTCGCCCCCTTGGCTCCTTCCATTGGGGGTGCTGGTCTGTACCCTGAGGGGCGCTTGGCCACACGGTAACTCTGAGCACACATAGCCCGCATCCCACTCCCCTGCTGGCTCGCACGGGTCCCGTCGCTCACGGCTGCTGTTGGTAAAGCCCGTGACCGTCCAGCCCAGGACCTCTCTGCTGAACAAATACAAGGACCAGACGAAGCTGAAGCACACAGCGCCTCAGCACCCGGAACACCTGCCTGGCCCTGCCGTGCGGTCGAGCCCCGCAGGGCACTGGGAGTGAAACCCCTCCTGCTGGGGGCCCCGGACGTGCCTGCTGCCACGGCCCTCCACCCGGCTGTGGCGGGCAGCCCCACGTGCAAAGAAGCAATTTCCTTTAGTGCTTTACTTGTAATATGTTTTTATAATACACTGGATTAAATACAAACCAATAGTTTAGTGGCATTTTCTACTTATCTCTATTAAGATTTATTTCTCAGTGGAATTACTTTTAAGCCTAATTTTAATCTGCCACTGACTTAGGAATAGTCTAAATTATTTAACAGAAAATTCACGTGCCCTAGTTAGTTTCAAACAAAACCACGTCGAGAGGTTTGGTTTAACCTACGATAGATTTTAGGGACACAAATGTCCCTTACAAAGTCTCACACATGCCCATTCCCAGTGCCGAGTTTAAGTGGGGGCCTGACGGGAAGGGAGGCCCACGTCCATTTCCACAAAGGCCGACGGCCCGGGAAGCAACAAGGCCTTGCAAAGGCTG